GCCCGTAAACACCAGAAATTTAATAATTTAATTTTAATTTAAGTTATCGATTCGTGGTTGACATTTGAGGCAGTGGCGGATATAGGATTTTTTGAGATTTCAGATTTGATACTTCCAGGCATTATGAAAACTTCAAATTTAAATATCTTCATGCTTATTTTAAATTAGGATGCTTTGAAAAAATACTCGGTGGTTGGAGCCTCTTTTAATTTTAAATTCATCGACAGGTTTCAAATTTCATCTAACTATCTTTTAGTGTTTAAAAGTTATGACCATGCAAAGTTTCTACCCCTCTCAAAATAGGGTTGCAAATTTGATTGCGTCGTTATGTATGTCTTTTCTAATACAAATACAATTTTATTCTAATGTACACAGTACACACATTAATGCATTACATTAGCATTTAAATGTACAGAAAAACGTTATTGCGACTTTCAGTAAATTAAAACGTACAGAAAAAAACAGTTATATCATCTTTTAAAAAAATCTTTAACAAAAAATCTTTCTGACAAAATGTAAAAAAGGAAAAATTTAGATAATTATCAAAAAAAAAAAAGATAAAAAAGGAAAAATCTAGATAATTGTCATAAGCCTAAAGTTAAACCCGATATTAGGTTTTTAGACCACTTTTTGTTCCAGTGATGGTAACACTAACAATAGACAAATAGCAGATCATTTTTTTAGTCTAAAAGAAAGAGAGAGCCAATCTGTTCTGTAAGTTGTAAGACAGATGACCAGTTCTCTGTCTTGTTATCTAAGTTCAACACACTCCTTAGAATTAATCAGCAAGTTGATATTAACAAAAAAGTTGATCTTGATATAGTTAAAGAAGTTGGTTATGGACTAATGATGTTGCATAATTAGATATTTCCATGGGCTTTGGTTGGCCCCAGCATCCATCACATTCTGAGTAGAAGAAGAAAGTTGGAATAAATACATTAAAACTTATAAATCAGGAACAAGTTGTGAGGCAAAATAAATGTAATTGCAAATAAATGCACGCGACATTTACTGCAGACTGATGATAAAAATACATTCAGTAAAATTGCCAGATTGATGTTTAGAACACAGTAAGATTGCCAGTAAAATTGCCAAGAAGTAAGATTGCCAGTAAATAAAAAATTTTGCAATTTAGAAAATGTAGAAAACTCGGATATATTACACGAGGGTGTAAAGTAGATGTGAACAATGTCCTTAAAAAAGAAAAAAATGATAATTCAAAAATGTTTTGTCTGACCATACAAAAGAAATAAAACTGATATCTTGTATGTTTGGGTTTAATATTGAATTATTTTAAATTTAAATGTATTCAATTTTAAATATGAAATTTTTAATCCAAAATTATAGTATTCAGCCACTAGTTATATATTAGTACTTAGTGCACAAACATAAAATTTGACCTTAAAATCAGGTTCTATAGCCCAAAAAAGTGTTATACAAAAACTTTCACAAAATTTTATAAACAATTAACAGTTATAAAATTTTTTCGAAAAAAAAAACACATTCTAGGCTCGCAGTGCTAAGGTTTTTGCTCTGACGTTTTTATATATAAAACAAACAATATTGCTTAAGATAAATGCTTGTATGGCTAGGGGTTAGAAATCTAAAAAGAGTTAATGAAAAAATATCTTCTAATAGTTACTCAAGTAGCCAGTATGAATTTCCACTAATATGCTTAAACGCAAGTATAGCTTACCATTATGACAAGTGTCTGGCAATGAATGGCATGATTTTTAACACTACTCCGAAGAAAATTAAAAGAAAACTATACTTTATAATTTGAAAATTTTTAGCCGAGTTTTTTTATACACATTTGGTAACTGTTATCAGCCAAAGCTATAGTTGACCATGGTTCTTACTTGTGTTGCAGGCATGAGATATTTTCGGCTTTTGTGAAATAACCTAGGTCTAGCGGCCACGGCCTCTTAAATTATAGTTACAATCATATTTATATGATGGTTTTACCTCATAATGTTTGGTATTACTATGCCAACATCTTTTTTTTATAGGTGTTGAGTCTAGTTTTTCTATACAATATTCGAAATTCTTATTATATTTTCCGAAATGCAGGGTTTTACATTTTTCAATGCTAAAATTTATCATCCAATTTTGAGGCCTTTGAGTAAATTTATTAATATCATCTTGAAAGAAATTTAAGTCTACCTTGTTATTAACTAAAACAATAATTATTATCTGCATAAAGTTATTATTAATTTTAGAATGTAAGTCATTTACATATAATAAGAATAACAATGGCCCAAATACAGAACCTTGTGTTATGTACTTGGAACATTGTTATTCTTATTATATATATGGCTAACAAAACTCGATACCCTTAACCTATTTGATTTTTTGTCGCCATTTATGACGCGTTGTTTTCTACTTGATAAATATGCTTTTATCCAGGTTAATAAATTATTTTGTATAGAATAACTACTTACTTTTGATATAACTCTCCTTTAAGGTCACGTGTCAAATGCTTTTTTAATTTTTTTTGTGTGTGTTTTTATTAAGGTGCTTCCAGTTATCCTAATGGTCACAGAGCACTGTGGAAGATCATTTAACAAGAAAGTTCACGCCTTCTTCCTTAATAATGTTGATTAATTGGGCGAGAACCGGCGTTGAACCCCAGACCTCTAGGTACTGAGCCAGACTCTATCTGCTGCGGGCTCATTATTTTTAAAAAAACATTTTATTTAAATCATCAAAAAATACTGTCGATTAAAATGAAGCAAACTACATTTCCTTTGATTGTCATATTATATAAGAATTGAATAAGTAATAAAAATATATATGTAAAATTATCTTTTAATGAATTTGTTTATGGATTTTAATTTTTTATTTATTTAATTTCAGCTAATATATAAAAGTTATAGGAAGTTAGAAGAATTGCATAAGAGAACATTCTCTAAAAATAAGTTCCAAAAAGCAAGTGTTACCGAAATAGTAAAAACAACTTTACTAAAAAAATTATGTAGTGTTAAAAAGCTTGGCAAATTTAAATTAGATAAAAAAAAAGTATTTAGACTATTTCAAAAATATTTTGATCAAATTGTTAAAACAAAGTAACCATACAAAATAACGACTCAAAGAGAATTGGAATTTTCAAATAGTTTGAAAATCAAGTATACATCTTGTTCCTATGAATAGTACACTTTTACAAGTATAATTAATACTGTATATAATACTGTGGACAAAAACGCACACAAAAAAGATAGCAGAGCATCTGGTATTAACGTAAGAACAATTGTTGGTTTTTGTGAGGTTGTTCAAGTCTATGCACTAATGAGTCGCTTTGGTTATATAGCAAATATAATTTGCATAAATGTAAGCAATTTTTAACGTAATCATAAATTGTTCATGCTTTTAATGATTCTGCTGCTAAAGATTGTATGAAGTTTGCTGCAAATAAAATTAAAGAAAATGCTTTTGAAAAATTCACTCCATTTGTTTCATAAGTTCAAGTTTCTTTTGATGGTACTCGGCAGAAGCGAGGACATTCTTCTCTTAATGGTGTATTTACTGCTATAAGTAGAGGTTGATGTGTTGATCAAGATGTATTAAGAAGGTATTGCAGAGGGTGTCAAATTTGGTCCGACAGAAAACAACATTCTGATTAAGAAAACGGGAACACAAATCACATTTGTTCTTTAGACTATACAAATTTTTCAGCGGGAATGGATAAGGTTGGTGTGCTAAATATCTTTCAACTCTAATTGAATTTGTATGGGATTATATATAAGTACTATATTTGAGATTGGAACTTCTCTTCGTTTAATTAAATTGGAACCCACCTCTCTAATCGACAAAAAAGGAAACACGAAGGGCTGAATTTAACTGGAAAAAACTACCTGACAGAAAGGGCATTAAACTTCATCCAAAAATATTTTAAAATGGTTAACTGCTAAAAATTGCAAGTTGGATGATACACAAAAAATACACAAGATAAAAAGGCACATCAGAGCATCAATATTTCACATTACCAATTTCAACAGCCGTTTCACCGCGTTTTTTAAAGTTTGAGATAATGTCTAAGAGTTTTTAAGGTTCAGAGTTTAAAATGGGAACAAAGCCACGAATGACAAATAATGTTATCTTTTTTAAAAAATTATTTTATTATTAAAAATTTTTTTTTTCCATTTTAACAATTGGCATTGTGTAGGCTTTTTTTCATTTTCTTAATTTTTCTTTTACCCTTTACCTTTGCTTTGTATAAATGTACATTGTAAATGTTTCTAAACCGTGAAATAACACACAAAAAAGCATCATAGCAACTATCTAGCAATATTCGAAATGATAAAGACAGTGAGTTAGCCACAAGGATCGCTAACTAAATAAGCTAGTGATTAGCTAACAAAAGTTAGCATGTTATTATATTGTTATATTATTTATTCATATTTATGTCATATAAAATACTATTATTATTACTTATTACTTATTTTACTTACCAAAGTCGCAGATAATATCGAGAACCATATTGACTTATCATTTTAGAATTCCAGATTTTCACTAGTTATATCAATAATTGAAAAATTAACTTTGATCAATTGTAACAGCATCACTAGCTGATAGGCTGCAATATGTAGCGATAGACTAGCTTAAGGTTTGTCGTTATGTTGAAGCTAGCTATATACTTACGGTCTGTAGCTATCAATGAATAGTAATAATATCGCCTGCTACAAAGCTGCAATATGTACCCATCGACGAGCAACAGATTTTTTGTTAAGTTGTGGTTAGCTATAATATGTAGCTAACAATAAATTGTAGTAAAGTCGATAGCTACAAAGTCGTGATATCTGGTTAGCGGCATAACGTAATAAAGTCGGAATGTTATAAGTTTCCACTAGTAAAAATCGAATTTTTAAAGACGCAAAAGACAAAATAAAAAATTTTATCTTAATATTCATCTTTATATTTTAAGATTTTATTTACGTTAAGCTTTAATTCATTTTATTTAAAATGTTTAAATGTCAAATATAAATTCCTTTTATAACTTTCAGGTTGGGTATTCTGGGATGACGAGAACCAGGAAGATCTAGATGGCGGAAATACAGTAAAAGGTTTTACCCCAGAAGGGGTGTATGAACTCGATACTCTTATTTACTATTGTTGTATTGATAAAGGCAATAAAAATATTCCAATAGAACTACCGTTAGATTTACCGTTTTTTTTAATTGCATATAAATCGAAAGAATGTCAAGCAGTTTTAGGAACTACTCCCGTATTAGAATATATTGAATGGGATGATGAAGATCAAGGAAATACCAATGCACATAGTGAAACAGCGTCCCCCTTCGGAGTTTCAGAAAACAAGATGAACACAAAGATCTATTATTGCTACTACAATGCAGGTGTATAATTATTTTGAGAATTTAATTTAAGATGCATTCTTTTTGTGGTTTTAATATTTTTAGACATTTAGACATTTTGCTATTTTAATATTTTTCATAACCTGTTCTAGTTTAATGCACTATTTAAAATAAAATTACCTTAAAAGATGTTAAATTTTTTTTAATAAAAAAAATTATGTTTATTTTTATTTCGTTTAATTGTCTTAATATCGTTTAAACGTTTATTGTTTATCGTTTAATATTGTTTACTTAGGAGGTTGTGGACGATATGGCGGAGTTTGTCGAAACACTACTGACAATGATAGCACATTACTCGAGGGGCAAAACATTGTTGTGGATGATCAAAAACGCAGTAAAAAGGTATGTTTTCATTTTCAACAAAATTTACAATGAAAAAAAGTAATAATATAATTTAATAATTTCATTTTAAGGCAACTTTTGTTGAGAAGACGACACGTCACTCAGTGCTTGCTGTAGCTATTGGATGTAGCGTTGCAGGAGCCATACTTGGCACAGCTGCTGTCGGTATATTTATACAAAAATATTTAAACAAAAAAAATTCTGATTACACTTTGGAACGTTCTTTAAATGAAGATGAAATACCTCGGCCCGACCATATATGGTAAAAAACAGTAACAGATATTTTAAATTTATATGTAAATTGTAAATAGAGCACCAAAATGCATCATTCATAAATTTGAATAGGTATTTTATTTCGTTGTACTTAACAGTCCTTAAACATTTGTATATATACAAATCTACGAAAAAATTCAAACAATGTTTTGTAATGTTTCTTTATAAATATATCAAACAAATCTAAAACTATTAGAACATTTCTTTTAAAAATGTTTTAATAAGACTAGCGTTTTTCTTCAATTTTCAAAAAAGTTTTATTTAATTAGTTTTTAGTTTAATTAGAACTAGAGATGTACCGAAGCTAAAGCTTCTTCTGAAGCCACATTGTGGAAGCCGAAACTTTTACATTTATACAATGAATGTTTGCTATCTTGCGTATCTAAATATATTACTAATCGTTAACAAACAATATACCCTAATCTTAGCCCTAACCGTAATCCTAACCCTGACACAGCCCGCATTTGGTCCTTTATGAAATTTTAGAATATGTATTTTCAAAATACATCCTTATTAATTTAAAACCTTTTTTTCTTTTATAAATTTTATTTTTATACATAAAACCTTAATTTCCTTATTATCATATAATATTTAAAGCAGCCCGAGCGCAGTGGTTAGGGCGCTTGCCTCAGAAGCTGATCAGATCAAGAAGAGATCAGTGGTTCAACGCCAACTTTGGGAAAGTTTTATAAAATTGGTTATTAAGGAGGCATGAACGTTCTTTCAAATGCTGTTCTTCCGTGGTGCTTTGTGATAAATCAGTAAAGACTTCTTGAGGCACCTTAAATAAAATTGAAAACTACATTATATTTCACAAAACCTTTTTTTTCCATAATTATGTTTTTTTTAACAGGCAGGTAAAAATTCATTTTTTGAGGTCATTTTTTTTTTTTTTATTTCGAATGGTCGTTGACTGTTGACCCTCTTTATTTTCTACGCTTAACAATATTTTTTGCGTTTAATCTTTATAAACTATCAAGTTTAAAGCATTCTTGAAATTAATACTACAGAATTCGCTTAAACTTGGTGCTTCTCATAGTTGTAGGAATGTCGTACAACAGTTGTAGGAATGTCGTACAACAGTTGAACAACAAACTTGTTTTACAATGAAAACTAGAGTATAAATAGAATAACATAAATAAATAAAAACTATAAATAGAAACTTTAATTCCTGAAAAAGTTGCAGCACAACAAAATTGCACAGTTGTTTTATAATATTCCTACAATTATTGAAAACCAAGCTTTAGTAATTTAATTAACGAAAAATAATAATAATTATTTCGGTTTGGCACGCCTGGCTTCGGCGTGCCAAAACCGAAACCGTATTTTCGGTTCATCCCTAATGAGAAAATCTAAGTTACAGCTTCTAATGCAATAAATTAAAAAAAATTACTTTCCTTTTGTATAAACTATATATAAGGTCATTTTGTATAAATCATATACGGCCACATTTGCAATATCATTAAACTCATTTAAGGCTATTTTATCGTCCAGATATAATTACTGATATTCACTGTGGTGTTGTTGCAAGTAATGTTCACAACTAAATGCATGTTTGGTGTTTTGTGGTTGTCCTCCTAAAGCAACGGCTTTGATTGTATGGTTATAATTATAGCAACGTCTGCAATAACCTAGTGATAGGTTCTTCAGGGATGTATTATCTCTGTTTCAGCATTGATTTATTATTATTTGTACTACTTAATTTTATACTCAGATTTCACAATATAATTAAGACGTTTTCTATGACTTTGTTTTTATGACTTTTTCTATGTAAAAAAGCAGTTGCAAATAAAATTATTATCTGCTATATAACAATCTAAACAGCGTAAGGTTGATCAAAAATTGGTAAATGGTATTTTATCTAATGAAGCGAGAAAGATTTAAAATAATTTTAAGAGTAATTTTTAGATGTTTTTGTAATTAAAGATGTAAAAAAACCTTTCATTACAGTTAATCTGCTTACTAGATATCTGATGTCTTAAAAGTTTTTAGGCCTAATCTTTTTTTTTGTAGTTCATGTGTAAATCAAAATATGGACTGTGCCCCCTAAAACCTGTGAAGCTGGTTTTAGAGAAATAACTATATATTTGCAAAAAAATTTTGAATAAACCACTTTGCAGTTCAAAAATCTTATTTAAAACTGATTTTTTTTTTCCAATTAATACGGAATGTTTTTGTGAAAAAATTTCACAAGGTTCCTTTTAAAAAAAAAAGTTTCCAACAGAATCAAAACGGCATTTTTTACACACAGATTTTGATTTATTAAAACTTTAAATGCTTTTTAAACGGAATATCTTGACAAAAATAATTAAAATCTAAAACAAAGCTAAGTTAAACTTTTATCTTTTAATATTTAATTAAAACAAAAGATATGAATAAATTTCATGTTGATAAACATAAACTTGGTTTGCAAAATCGTTGCTAATGAACACACCGATATAAAAACTAGAGGAAGAGTTAAGAACATTTTGGTAAGGAATCGACTTACAGCTGTTATTACAGTTGAACTATAGCTTTTTGTATTTTTAATAAACATTTAAAACTAGTTTTTTTTTTTCTTTGAAAACGCAAAATTTGTTTTTTTCCACATTTTTCTTTTTTTTTCTAACTTTATCTCATTATTTATTATTAGATTATTTTACAGTTGCTTGTTGCATGTATTTTCCTCAACTGTGACTTGGTTATATAATATCCTGTGATTGTACGAATTAATGATGGATTTAATATTTAGCATACATAAATAGCTTATCAAGATATTACACAGTATTTTGTTTGACTATATAATGTTTGAACCCCCCTCAATTTGAGGGGGTTGCAAATTTTATATTGTTATAATTTTTGAACACTAAGAAATTATACTATAAAACTTAAAATTTATCGATGAATATTAGTCTAGTTGAAAATAGTACAAAAAATATTTTATCAACTTGTTGCTCTCACGTTTGGGGCAGACTAGGCAAAAATTTTGGGGCTATGTTGTTTCCAAGCTCCAATTATCGCAATTTTTTGCAAAGCATCCTTATTTGACATAATATATATGTTTGGAGTTTGCTCCATGTCTGGAAGTTAGCTATCTCAATAAATACTAGCGCCGGCCCTGTATATATATATATATATATATATATATATATATATATATATATATATATATATATATATATATATATATATATATATATATATATATATATATATATATATATATATATATATATATATATATATACAGGGCCGGCGCTAGTATTTATTGAGATAGCTAACTTCTAGACATGGAGCAAACTCCAAACATATATATTATGTCAAATAAGGATGCTTTTCAAAAAATCGCAATAATTGGAGCTTGGAAACAACATAGCCCCAAAATTTTTGCCTAGTCTGCCCCAAACGTGAGAGCAACAAGTTGATAAAATATTTTATATTTATATATATATATATATAAATATAAAATATTTTATATATATATATATATATATATATATATATATATATATATATATATATATATATATATATATATATATATATATATATATATATATATATATATATATATATATATATATATATATATATATAAGACTTCTTGGGGCCCGGGCTCCCCCTTGATCCGGCACTATATATATATATATATATATATATATATATATATATATATATATATATATATATATATATATATATATATATATATATATATATATATATATATATATATATATATATATATATATATATATATATATATATATATATAAAAGTTGATAAACAAACATAATAAAATGTATAAAACTTTAAAAAGTGTCTTTGGCCATCTTTAATTCAAGGCGCTTTAAATGTTTACCGCATTTATTGTCGCGGTCTGTTGTTAGTTCGGCGAAGTATCTTATTCATAATTAGCCGAAAATATGGTTTAAAATGGTGATACGGGAAAAGCATGCATGTTACACTAATTAATTTTAAACTCAACTTTTTATGATAAAGAAGGTTCTTGTGGTTTATTATAAACATTAATAAGAACATTAATTATTATATATTATATATAACTGTTTGTGTAGTATATATATATATATATATATATATATATATATATATATATATATATATATATATATATATATATATATATATATATATATATATATATATATATATATATATATATATATATATATATATATATATATATATATATATATATATATATATGCTACAGGACTGTTATGATTGCTATATTTGTTATTTGAACTCTAAAAGAAATGTTAATATTTCTAGTTGTTTTTTCAATACCTTTTTATTCATAAAAATTAAATTTATAAAAATTTATTAACATTTTAATTTATTAACAAATTAATTAACTAATTAAATTACTTTTTCTGACTTTTTTAAATTATGAACTCAAATTTATGTTTATTTTGCCAATCAAAAATATTCTGTATTTTTTATCATTCTGTATTTTTGCTTATTCAATAATATTTTTGCTATTATTTAATTGTAAAATAAAGATTCAAAACTATTTTTACTCAAATAATCAGGAACATTTAGTTGCTAATTTAATAGCTTCAACTTTCTGTTTTAAAGGTATTTGAGTTGTTTATTATAAATTTTAATACTAGAAAATCAAATTTGATTGGCCAGTATTGATATTGGAGGATCAAAACACCATTTTTATCAAAAATAGACTATCATTGATTATTAATCAGCTGTTACTTACAGCACTGAATATTTATATATATATATATATATATATATATATATATATATATATATATATATATATATATATATATATATATATATATATATATATATGTATATATATATATATATATATATATATATATATATATATATATATATATATATATATATATATATATATATATATCAGTCTTCTTTGTTTAAAACTTAATGCCAGCGCACAAAAAGCGCCGGCCAGATAAATCTTTTTTAAAATTCATCTCATTTTGCTATTTAAATTGAAATTGAGAAAAAAAAAATGCTTTGAATGAGTTTTAAATAAAACAAAGGCAAAATGAATCTATTTCTAGGTAAATTCTAGGTAAAAGTATTAAAATAAAAACAGCAATAAAACAATTAAAATTGTAAAAAATATTAAATTATAAAAAACTATTAATTTTTTATTAAGACACGGACAAAATGTCCGATCAAAACTTGTTTGGGTCGGAAAATGTCTGATCCAATTTTTTTAGATATAGTTCCAATTTAATAATGCATGTTTTTTTACATAGACTTGAACTAGCATGCGGTATCTGATAACATTTTTTTTTATTCTTTACAACTTTGCAACAGCTTTTTTGAAGTTTTAACTATTTAAATGCAAAAAAAAAAATATCGTTACGTTACAAATAACTTTTAATTGTTGATCTTATTTAAAGTTTTTATTTTACGCGAAGGCATAAAATAAAAAATTAAAAAAAACTTTAATTAAAATCAAAACTTATAATTTGAAATAAACGCATTGTATAAATTAAATTTTATATTCAATTTTTTTAGTAGGTATGTATTTTTCATGATAAATTTAAACATTTGAAACTATTTTAAAATAGTTTCAAGCATTTAAATTTATCATAAAAAGTCTTTCTAAAAATCTTTTATTAAAAGATTATTATTTTCATGTTACTTTAAATTATGAATAAGTTAAATTATATCTTCCCAAGATTTAATTGCTTTTTTTTTTTTTTTTTTTTTTGTTATTTTTACCAAGAATTGTTTAAAAGTTGTTTTTTTTTAACTTGACTTTTAATCAAAGTATGAAATGGATAAAAATTACAATTTTAAAAAGACAACATTGTTTTTTTAAACAATTTTTTTTTTGCAACTTTTTGAAAAAAATGTTTAAACAAATTAAAAATATTATATTTTTTTCTTTTCAATAATTTAATTCAACTTTTCAATAATTTAAACAAAATTAGTTTGTTTAAACAATCTATAGAAGTAATTTGTAAAAGCGTTTTACGTAACTTTAATAAAACGTTTCAAAATATAACTTTTAAATTAATTTATTTCAAACGCAATTAAAAACAAAACAAAAAGTAATTTTAACTTTGAGTTTTTTGAGTTTTATTTTAAAGCTTTTAATTTTTTTTTTTTACTTTACTTTTAATTTTTATATATATATTTACTAAAGTATTTTTTTTGTAGAATTTAATTCCCTTTGGTCAAAATGTCCAATTACTTTGTAAATTGATTTGACAATTTGAGGTTTTAGCTGGACAATGTCCAATGTCCAGCTATTATAATAAAAAGAGCCCTGAACTATTATAATAAAAAGTGCAAAATCCACTTTTCATGTAATTATTTAAATAAAAATAATTAAAATTAAAATATCAAAACAAGTTTTTTGTTTAATGCAAAGTTGATGCAGGCATGTGGGCAAGCACGAAAAGTATTTAGTGCAAAAGCCCTGGCCATACGGATATATATATATATATATATATATATATACATACATACATACATACATACATACATACATACATACATACATACATACATAAATACATATGTATATATCACAGGCCTTGTTATGAGGTTTTATCGCGTAACGCCAATAAATGTAGCTTTCACATAGTCTTGATATTTACATTGTCAAATGTTAAATTGCATTATTAGCCTATTTTAAAGTATTGCAATGCAATTAAGTTTAAATTTATACCGCATTAAGAATCTTTTAAACTTATTTAACAAAAATGACTGATAAAATCTGAATTTGGTATTTGAAAAAGATTAAGTTTGCTTAAAAATTATTTATTAAAACAATATCATACGTAACATAACCTTTTGTTTGTTTATCAAAAATTACTTTTTTTATTTTTTATGTAATTAATGTAATAATTTATTATTTCAGTTACCAATAAACATTAAAAATGTTTCTTCAAAAAGTTTCTTTAAAAAATTCACAATATCAGTCTTCACTGTTCCAATAACTTCATGCGTGCATCTTTAATAGTACAACATGCTTCTTTATGCGCAGAATTGCATGAAAACAAGTCAATACACATAATTTATGATAGTAAATTATGTGTATTTACTATCATAAATTATGTGTATTTAGTTTGTTTTATAAAAAAGACCTTGGTTTAAGTTTAATTTAGCTTTAGACATTAAATAAATATATTAAAATATAAATATATCAATTTCTAAAGCTAAATTAAACCTAAATCAATGTCTTTTTTATATTATTATATTAAAATTTTATTTTAATATATTAAAATATAATTATATCAAAGATATAAAACCTTAACACAAACATATAAACAGTATAAATTTTAGACATAAATTGATTAAAATAAACTTATATCAAACAAAATCAATGTCTTTATTATGAAAAAAAAAAAAAAAAAAGATATCTCATGTAAACAACTGTTTTTTCAAAAATGGTTTCATAATATGTCTGTTTTATTTTTTTCATGTGATTTTCCATCTTTGGTACCATGACATACTATTAAATAGGCAAGCACGCAAAGTTCTTTATTTCTTACATAAAATGCAAGCTGCTTAACACATCTTAACAAGGACTGATATCAGATATTATTCTAGACTCATTTAGACAGCATTGACAATATTCAGGCACCCAAATTCAAAAATTGAGGACCTTTTTTTTTTTGTTATGTGGCATTTAATACAACAAATACTTTTTTTTTTTTTCGCAAAAAAGTGTCTATATTCTGCAATGTTTCCAAATAACTTTATGGCAGGCGCTGGCACTGCAGGTATTGCTACCCAAATTATTTTCCTAGAATAGCCTCTGTATATATATATATATATATATATATATATATATATATATATATATATATATATATATATATATATATATATATATATATATATATATATATGTATATATATATATATATATATATATATATATATATATATGTATATATATATATATATATATATATATATATATATATATATATATATATTAGCCCTTGGAATTAGGGTCCGGCATTCAGCTGCTAAAACTGACAGTGTCTTAGGTTTTAATTTTTTGCCGATCTCAGAATTTTACACTTAATTTTTTATGCTATTCTAAATAAAATAAAAACTTCAAAACAAGCACTTTATTTAAGTTTTAAATAAAGTAGTTAAATTTATAATTGAAAAAGTGTTTTAATAGGCCGGGTGAATAAAAACAAGCAATTGCTTTTACTCAGTAATTGGTCAGCTTTACGTGAAAAAAAGCTTGAGTAATTTTAAATAAGGTTTTAGTCGCTGAACAATTACTGAGTAAATTGCTTACCTTTACGTGAATAAAAATTTGAGGAAAACTGCTAAAGTTTTTATTCATTTTATTTGCGTAAAGCTGACCAATTACTGAGTAAAAGCAATTGCTCATTTTTATTCACCCGGCCTATTAAAATTCTAAATAGAGTAATTAAAATAAAATTGTCAAAACAAACTTTTTTTATAAATTTTGAACTAATTAATTTAAAAACATCAAAACTTTTATTTAAATGATTGTTTTGATGTGTTTTTTTAATAAAATTGTTTTTATTTAATAATTTTGTTTTGATTTTACAATAAAATAAATAAAATAAATTTTAATTAAATTCAAAATTTAATAATTCTGATAATAAGGATAAAACAAACATTTTTTAAAAGTTCTAAATAAATGCAAAAAAAATAAAAATAAATAAGTAATAATAATAAACAAAAAAAAAAACAACAACAGAAAAATGAACTATCTTATTTTTAAAAAGTGGAAAAACACATGTTTTATTAATTCAAAATAAAATAATTAAAATAAAATCTGAAAACTAATGTTTTATTTAAATTCTTAATATAGTGGTAAAATGTTTGTTTTTCAATTATATGTGCAAAGGCCAATGTTTAAAAGAGAAGTTGGTGAACTTGGTGTTTTTTTTTTCTTCTCAATTTTATGCCTTATGTTTGCAGTTTGTTGATTTGTGGAACCCTGTTTCCAATTTTTGCCAATTTTTTGCCAACCTTATTTTTCCTAATTCCAAGGGCTGTATATTTACACACACATATATATTATGTTTAAAATATACAAAAATATTTACAAAATATACAGTTTATAATTATATACAAAAGTTTAATGTTTTTGATATTTTTTACATACTTATTACAGCTTTGAACAGTTTTAAACATTTGAGAAAATGCAGTCCTATTCATAAGTAGTTCAACATAAATTTAATGAAAAAACTTTTTTGATATATAACTCTTTTTTTTAGATCTTACTATATAATTAAATAATCATGTTTTTTATTGAGATGCTAGTTGACCTATTTTCTGAGATCTTTTTGTCTTGTAGTATATTAACCATTACATTAATCAAAAATTTCTGTTATTTTTAAAATATTATGTGATAAGTTTAATTTTAGACAATATAAGTATTTTGGCTAATAGTACAACATTTTTGATTTTTGTGATAAATTTAAAACCTTTAAATGCTTACTAGTATCAACCCTCGGAATCAGGAAAAATGAGGTTGGCATAATTTGTTGACCTCAATCTTTTAGAGGTCGGCATCAGGCCAGCAACAAAAAAAAAAATTAATACAAAGGTCTTACCATAAAACATAGAAATGAGGTCGGCTATTTTTTGAACAAAATTATACTTAAATTCAATTGTACTTATAATTAAAACAAGAAAAAATCTTTTAGAATACATAATTCTACTTAAATTAAAACAAGAGAAATTCTAGTAAAATAAACAATTCTATTTAAACAATTCTATAAAAAAAATCTTGTCATAAAAAAATAAAAACAAAATTAAGTTAAAACAAAAAAACCTTGTTATAAAAAAATTAAAATATTTAAGATAAGTTTGAGTTTTTGACAACTTCTCTAGAAAAATTGTAAACAAAAATAAGTTTTATAATATATTAATTTTTTTATAAAAAGTTGTATTTTTTCAAATAAATATTTATTATAGTTATTTAACATAGCAATGGTGATGGCACAATATCCTAATACCCAATATGTTGCACATGAGTTCGTCCGTCAATACTATACAATGCTTCATAAAGATCCTTCTCAATTACACAGGTATAAAGTTAATTTTAGTAATTTTTTACTTTTCTTTTTGGATTAATAATTTTTTTATTTTTCTTGTTATGCATTTCTTATTTTAAAATGGCTATTTAAACATACATAATTTTACATATATGAAACTTTTAACCTTGTATTTAGAATAATAACAGACCTTGTTATTAGTTCCTTTGTTTCAATTGAGTAAACGAGGTTTTTAATTTTATATAAACTTTATGTAATATTTTATGTAATTTTTGTATAATAGTATTAATTAAAAATTTTTTTATTAATAAAAGTTATTTTTCTTGACTTTTCATACAAATGAAAAAGTTTTATTTTTTTGTATAATAGCTTTTTTGCTATCAAGATTAAAATTTTCTTAAATTGAAAATAAAAATGAATTACTTAACATACATAAAAGTATGTATTAATATAAATAAAGAATATTAATGATGAAAATAAATATTAATAATAAAAATAAACATTAAAAATGATAATAGTTTAAAATTTTAATATTTAATTATCTTAATGTTGATACAATATTGCTCAACAAAATAGTTTTGTTTTTCATAAATTTATACTGTAATGCCTAAAAACAAGGCCTGTAGTAATGTCTAAAATATGTTCACTAACTTAGTTTGCTTTTTGTTTTAGATTTTATACAAAAGAATCTCGTTTAACTCATGGTGGTGCTCCCAATTCTAAAATTGAAGATCCTGTTGTAGGTCAAGAGGTATATATCTGTTTGTTTTTGAATTAAAATTTGATTAAAAGTATCTGGGTGTTAGCCAGGAATACATTTTTTATCGGGTTTTGCAATATTGTGTATATTTATTGTTATTATTCTACAAAATATTGGGGATTTTGATTGAAGTTGTCCAATTACTTTAAAATAAAAAAAAATAAAATCATTGAATTTTGAACACATTGGGAATTCGGCAGTATACGCGGTGCCATTGGGCTAGCTAACCCCCTTAGTAACAGGTTTACAAATGTGGGACAAAAGAACAGTGAAGATCAATATTATGATTATATCAGTGATAACAACTGCTTTATGTTATATAATTAACAATAATCTTGTTTGATAAACAATGCTTTTAAAGAAAAACAGAGCTTTTAAAGAAAAACAGAGCTTTTAAAGAATAAACAGTGCTTTTAAAGAAAAACTGTTTTTATGGTAGAACTGCACTTTTTATGGTAGAACTCCACAATTGTAATGGTAGAACTGCACAAAGTGCAGTTCTACCATTACAATTGTGGTACAAATTTCATTAAGATATTACCAAAAATACTGATACAATACTTGGATAAAACAGGATTGTTTAGTTATCATGCAATAAAATAAATCATTCATCAGAAAAAAAGCAAAAGCTCATTTGTAGTTTGCTAAGTGTACCCCACGTTTGTAATCTAAGGCTCAATCAAAAAACTTTAACTCAAACTAAGGACATAAGAACAGTGGAGAATAATATCATGTCTGATGAGACATGATATTATTCTCCACATGAAACTTATTCTCATCAGACAATTGTCTGATGAGAATAAGTTTCACATAAATTATTCTGATCGTAAAAGAAATGTTAGACAGACAGTTGGCTAGCAATTAACACCAATGTAAACTATAGGAATTTTTTTTTTTTCAAATATATTTATTAAAAACAAAATATTTTGACAAGAGAAATTTGAAAGGGTAAAAATCTACTTCGAAATTTTTTAAAGTTCTCTCATAATTATTTATGAATATTATTTAATTGAGTTAATAGCAGGCCTTGCTATGAGACTTTGTTGCATAACGGAAAAGCGCAACACTCGTAAAAGTAACTTTACTTAATAAAGATATTTACATCGTTAAAAGTTTAACTACGTCAGTTGCGTTTTTAAAATACCTCATTGTAATTAAATTTAATACCACATAAAAAATTGTTGTAAGTCTTTGAACTGAAATATCTTTAAATTTAACAATCTTGTTATAAAAAAAAATTATAAATAAAATTTAAATGTTGATTAAAAAAAAATTTCCTTATTTTAAAATCTTATACTTATTTAAAATTATTATTTTTTCTTTAAAACATTTGTTTTATAGTATTTTTTTTTTAAAATATACACAATTTAGATTAGAGCTACCTAGAGCATTTTAGTGACTGCCATTTGATGAAATAAAAATTGTAATTAAACGAAGATTACCGCTTTTCAGCTTTGGTTTTTTTTTTTTATTTGCATTAAAATATTTTATTTTATGTACCTTGAAACCTAATGTATTCTTTCTATTTCTTACTAAATTTAAAAAGAAAAATAGTATTTTCAGTTTTAAGATGTTATAAGAAGAACTTGTTTTTAGCAAATATCAGTATAATTTTAAAATTTGCATATCTTATATTTATAGCACTAGTATTAGTTTTGTTTTTTAAATAAAATAAATATAATTGGGCTTTTAAAGAGTTTATTTATTGATCGTGTTAATTTTAATCGTTTATAAAAGTTTGGTTCGTTTAAATAAGAAAAAATAATAAAATTCTTCTACGTTGAATTTAATGGCAAAGTGAAAACCCAAACATAACATTTATAACTCAAGTTTGAAAGAACTTCTTTGTATTGATTTCATTTATTAATTACAATTAATTAACTACAGCCCAGTCAGACCTAGTGATTTCACTGGTTATCCGTTTCAAAAACCGGATAACAGTTTCCATCAATTTGCAGTTAACCGACTATTCGGTAAATTAGTGACGCCTTCTGAATAATAGATCTTCTAAATTTTAACGAACGTAGCGTTTCAAACTAATTTTTAAAAAACTAATGTTAAACTATACATTTTTAAGACAGTGAATACAGTCCTATATCATATATTTACAACAAAACATGGAAAAAGATATATATATATATATATAAATATATATATATATATATTTTATATTATAATATAATGTACTTTTTTAATTATATAATTAAAAAAGGTAGTAATAATGTACAAGTATAGTTTAATTATCTGCATTATCATTAATCTCGACATCGCTGCTGATTTGAATTTCATCATCATCATCATCTTCTTCATTATTATCAACCAAGTTTCCACGTAACTCTGAATTTTCATACAGAAAAACCAGCATTTCTGCATGTTCTGGCGTTAATTGATTTCTTTTCTTTGTGATAACATTTTCGGCGGTTGAAAATATTCTCTCACTTGGACAGCTGGTTGCTGTGACACAGAAAAGCTGTGCAGCCAAATGAGAAAGAAGGTTGAATCTAGAGCTATGCGACTTCCACCACGTTAGTGGATCTCCTGTGAGCGGTTCAGGATCTTCTGATAAGTAAATTTGCATTTCCTGTCTGAAAGTTGTTGGAACTGAGCTTGCATTTGTTACTGGCTTGTAAATACGCGAGAATAAATCAAATTTTTTTTTGCTTGTATGAAAACTATCAAAGACTTTGCATTTCGAGGATGCAGGAGCCGTTGCAGCAGGGCCCATGACAGGTTGCTGCTGCAAGATGGCGTGTAGTTCTTCTGCATATGTTATCACACTTGTTTTTTCTTCGGTGGTCAGAAATGGGAGGGTTTTGAATCGAAGATCCAAAAGGGCACCAACCATGCCTAAATAGCAAGGAAAATCATTGTTAATATCGCTAACCAAACCAAAGCGTTGCTTTATTTCACTTTGCAGTTTTTTTTTCAGCTGTACAGCAGCCCATGTGTCGTTCTTATCATCTGGCTGAAGAAAATCTAGCAATCCGAAAATTGCCGGATAAATCGCTGAGTATGAAACATACTGCTGACCACTCCAGCGAGTAACCTGGTCAGCAAAGGGTTTCAAAACTTCCACCACTGTTTGTACAACGCCCCAATGGTCAGCGTTGAGGACGGCGCACTTTAATCTAGCCATGTCTTTCTTCACTTGAGGATCCTGTAGAAAAGATATTCATAAAAATAAAAGCGCACAAGCATGCATTTGCAATTAACCAATCAATTATTTATAGATATAGTAAATTATAACAATTTATCTTACCTGCATCGCGGCAATGATGTTCTGTTGTAGCCTCACCATTCGCTCTGCCATATTGATTTTGCTGCTCCACCTGGTTTCACAGTCCATCATAGGGCGGATAGGCTTTGGAAGTCTAGATACTGTAGTATCACAGTTTTTAGAATTTCTCTTGATTTCGTCTTTCTGAATTTGTTTGAGGACATTCCAGGATGAATTCAAACTTCTGAAGAACTGTGCCACTTTTCTGATGGCTGCCAGCGCATTTCTAACTGTCTGGATAGCATTGATGCTGTCATTAATGGCCAATTGACTTGTATGTTCGACACACCGTACCATATGCTGCACACGTTTGCTTGAAGTTAGTGCTAGCACAATGTTTGCGGCATTGTCTGACACCACTGCGAAAGCTTCCGGAATATGCCAGGCATCCATTGCAGCCTTCAAACTTGTCTGTAGGTTGACGCTCGCGTGACGCTCCTGGGAGTGAATCAAATTGATAACATAACTGACAAGGTTCCAGTTCTTGTCAATTAAATGAATTGAAATAGCTATGAAGCTTTCATTAGAATTCGATGTCCAGCTATCTGTTGTGAGACAAGGATATATGTTTAGTTGTCCCATAATTGTCTGAACTTCTGCAAAAACGGCAGCCTTTCTTGCCTCAATTGCAAAGATATTCTTGAGACAATTGATGTGTATCCTATTGGTGGAGCTCCTGTAAATAAAATGTAAATAGTGTAATAAAGTTATGGAAGTAATGGAAGTTATCATATTAATATAGCCAGATATTTTATTTGCATTAATTTTCAAGTGTTGGTGACAATTCAAAATGTTAATAACATTACAAAAAGCTGTTATTAGAACAGCCTGATATCTATCTATCTATATATATATATATCTATATATATCTATATCTATATATATATATATCTATATATATCTATATCTATATCTATATATATATCTATATCTATATATATATATCTATATATATCTATATATATATATATATATATATATATATATATATATATATATATATATATATATATATATATATATATATATATATATATATATATATATATATATATATATATATATATATATATATATAATTAATTAAAAAAAATGTCTCTAACCTGGATACAAAAATTGTGCCACTGCATTGAATCCTCTTCCTAAGACAAAACTGATAGGGCGTAGATCCATAACGCACATCATTGCCAACTTGTTGCGGTACTCCTCTTTTTTGGCACTATTCATAATGACAGTTGTTGTGATAAAATACCCACTTATTAAGGTATTACTAGCACTTGTTGAAGAACCTGCACCAGATCTTCCAGCAACAACCTGGTTAGAAGGATGACGCAATTTGAGGTGATTCTGCATTGCAGATGTACTTCCTCCTTTGCACGATATTTTCTCACCACACACACTGCACACAAAAAAATTATTGTCAATTTTTTTAAAAAACTTCCAGACAATACTCTTTTTAAGACTAGACATTATGCTCTAAACAAAACAGATAATTTTTCATATAGAAAAATTAAAATGATTCATGTAATTAAATTAAAAAAGTTAAGCTCATAACATAACATACTTATGTAACTATATAACCTTGTTACATAGTTACATAACTTAACTATAACCCTTGCAATTTTTTTATTAAAATGTTTTAATATCATTTAATACATTTGATAGATATTATAAAGTTAACTTTTTTAGCGAAAACTTATTGTTATGCAGACAT